ACAGTTCCTGTCTCTGTATCACACTGGGAGTCACTGTGTACAGTTCCAGTGTCTGTATCACACTGGGAGTCACTGTGTACAGTTCCTGCCTCTTTCCCCAGAGAGCGTGGGCGCTCCCTCCCTCTGTGCGTGCAGAGCCGGTGCATGTGAGTGTTTGTGTGTGTGTGAGGGTGACGAGGACATAACGCGTGCGAGGGAGCCTGGATTCCCGGGCGATGGCCAGGGTCACTGCCTTAAGACTGTGGTGCTGATGCCTTGTCCCTCCCTTCGTGCTCTGCCATTGTGCGTGTGCGTGTTGGGGGTCGGTTTTCCAGTCTGACGTGGCGTTTTCTCTCCCCGCCAGGAAGGAGGGGTGGAGTCAGGCTTCCAGAAGGTTCCGTCAGGCCCGGCATTGGTCCGCAGGTTGTACCACGTCAAGGGGAAGAGGAATGTCCGGGCCAAGCAGGTTGATATGAGCTGGTCGAGCTTCAACACGGGAGATTGCTTCATCCTGGACCTGGGGCAGGTAGACACTGTGCCTTGTGTGGTGGGGGGGGTGGTTTGAGGGTATTCATGGGGGATGGTGGGGTTGTGGGGGGGATTGTGGGAGCGGCGCGTGGCGTGGCGCGTCTCCCATACTCTGCCTCCGAGGCTCGGCGGTGGGTGGGGGGATCCTGGAAACGCGGCTCGCGCGGCCGGGGTGCGGTTTTCTCCAAAGCGCCCGTGCTGAGGGGCTGAGGTCCGACCGCAAACCCTTCCCCCGCCACCCCCCCCACCCCCACCCCCACTCCCCCCATCTCTCATAAAGTAAAACGCAACCCGGCCCACCCCCAGGCTCTGCGCGCCCTCCCCCCCAACCCCCGCCCCATTCCTCGGATCCACGGCCAACTCCGCTGTGTCATCCCAAAACTCCCCAAGACCTCGGACTTGCAGGCACGGGATTCCCTCCGGAGCGGAGCATCCCCGAGATCCGTGAGGCTCCGAGCGAAGGGATTCCACCCGGAAGTGGCCGACACGCACCCCACCAACCCACACCCCATCCACCCCACTCCCCCACTCACCCACCAATCCTCCTCCATCGCAATGGGACATTGCCAGTAGGATCTAGACCTTCCCCGATCCCCCTCTGAGGGCATTTGTGACTTAACCCCCATCGCTGGTGGTCTGGAGCAATGTGGACACACAGCAGGTGTGGGCCATTCGGCCCCTTTGAGCCTGCTCCTGCTGTTCAACGTGGTCATCCAAATTTTGTCTCCCTGCTTGCCCCTTCGGCCCCTCTAACCCTCAAAACTCGATCCAGCTTCTTGAGAACATTCAACGCTTCTACCTTGTTATCTCAGGCTCCAGCATCGGCAGTTCCTACTATCTCAACCGCTTTCTGAGGCAGGGAGTTCCACAGGCTCCCACATTCTCTGAGGGGGGAAGACGTTTCTCCTTAATCTCCGTCCTATCTTTAGATTGTGACCCCTCTCTTCCACCCCCAACAACCCAACTCCCCCAGGTTCTGGGCTCCCAAGTCATCAGGAACATGCAAGCTTACGCCCTGAGGGAGGGTGATCGGACCTGAAACGTCGACTCTGAATCTTCTTTTGCCTCTGAGACCTGCTGAGCTTTTCCAGCAACTTGTGTTTTTGTTCGGGAACACCCTCCCTGCAATCTATCGACGTTAGGAAGGATGGGGACTGGTTAGCGCTGGGCAGCATGGCTTGGTGCTAGGAAGGGCACATCTCACAAACTCAAGCTGGATTATTTTCGGGGAGTGACGGGGATGATTGACGAGGGTGGGGAGGTAGATGGCGTCTACGTGGGCTTTGACCCTTGCGGCAGGCCAAAACAGGAGGTGGGGGGGGAGTCGCATGGGATCCACACTGAGCTTGTAAGATGGAGACACAGTTGGCTTAGCCATGGAAGACAGACAGTGGCGGTGGAAAGGTGGTTTTCTGAGATGGGATCTGTGACCAGTGGAGATCTACAGGGATCCCTTTTTCCTTTATTCATTCACGGGATGAGGGCATCGCTGACCAGGCAACATTTATTGCCCATCCCTAATTGCCCAGAGGGCAGTCAAGAGACAACCACATGGGCTGTGGGTCTGGAGTCACATGTAGGCCCAGACCAGGTAAGGATGGCAGTTTCCTTCCCTAAAGGGACATTAGTGAACCAGATGGGATTTTCCCCGACAATGGATTCACAATCATCATTAAATCCTTAATTCCAGATATTTTTATTGAATTCAAATTCCACCACCTGCCGTGGCGGGATTCGAACCCTGGTCCCCAGAATTTAATCTGGGTCTCTAGATTAACAAAAACCGAAAGAACCGCAGACGCTGTAAATCAGGAACAAAAGCAGAAGTTGCTGGAAAAGCTCAGCAGGTCTGGCAGCGTCTGTGACGGAGGAAACAGAGTTAACGTTTCGGGTCCGGTGACCCTTCCTCAGAACTGATGGTGGCTGGGAAAGCGTCAGTTTATATGTAG